TCTTTCGGCCCGGTTCGATTCAGGTTGGAGTTCCCTTAACTATAACAGACGCTACCCAAGCACACTCATCTTCCTTATTTGCCATCTTTGCATCATATTCTTTCATGCCTAGTTCCCAAGTTCCGAAATAGATTTCATTTATCGATTTTGGGCCACAAGATACCGCAACTCCTCTAACTGTGATGGAGGCCAAGTACATACGGCGCCTCGCTTGATTCTTAGTCATTGAAGTGTCATATGCAGCATAGAACTCCCTAAAATGTGTCTTGTTGTATTCCCCCGGAGGGTCAGTGAAGAACTCCTACCCCCTCTTCTTGATGTTGTCCAGAACATGCGGGTAGTGTTATTTAAGTTCATTCACACTTAGCTGCTTTTCTTCGAGGATATTGCTTTTTTCCAATGCCTCTTTGTATTTATTCCATTTTTCGGTGATACTAAACCTGAGTGTATCCTTAGCATTCTTTCTGCATGCTTCTGTGCGGAGATCAACTTGTGGCACTAGGTCAAGTTATGCCCCCTCCTCTTCAGACTATGAGATGGGCTCATATGAAGTGATATATGTGCTAGGCTTTTTGTGTTGGGGCTGTTGTGATGTTGGACTTATAGCTTCAACCCACCTCTTTCCTCTTGTGATGGGTGTTGTAGATGCTTGGGTTTTCTTTGGTGCCATTCCTTCCAAATACGTAAAGTGAGCATGTGGTAAAACATTCATAGAACATGGCAAAGAAATGAAAGGAAAACATATTTTGTCGAGAGGATATGAGATCGCATAACAGATCTGCGAACCGCGAAATATGCCGCTGAATGTACAGTGTTGTGGTCAACAACTTATGTGACTGCAAAAGTGGTCACAAAACTAACCTGCAACTGCAAAATGAACGCAATTTTAACTTCAAAAATCTCTTGCACCTGTTGACGTCCGTGATGGATTTGTTGTCCATAGATCAATTCTACAATCGCAAAATCAAATGCAGATTCCACATTCCACAAGCATACAACTTGCCTCAGATATGCGATGATTCTGCGGACCGCAAATAAGTTATGTGGTGCCACAGAAATCATCTTCTCCATTGAGATATGACACACATGCAACCATAGGAAATTAATTCTATACTATACTACATATGCAGTACAAAATTTCACAAAATATACACACAATAAGCATCATTTGATCAATTTCAAGTTCAACCCTAGAATTCCGATGGTGCATTATCAAATATCACGACAACCACTGACACAAATCAGTAACCATATCCCCTAGCCCCACGGTTTTGATTTTTACTAGCAATCCCCCCTTAATGATCACCCAATACATGAAATACAGAAAAAGGTAGAGAGAACGGGTATCATGGAGGACATGAAAAATTGATGTGAGTAAGTACGAAATCAATGGAGAAAAAATAGGGAAAGAATTCCATACCAGATCAGTTGAGGAGAGCGGAGAAATTTTTGATCAAACAATCGTGGAAGTGAATTCTCTGAGCAAGGCGAGTAGTGTATTCACCTTCTCTATTGTCTTCTTTTTCTTTTGTTTTCTTTTATATGGAATTATAGTTGGGGGTCGAAAATAGGAAAGTGACAAAGGGATAAAGTTGTAATACATGTGCATTTGTCGGTACGGTTCCCATCGCATAACCACATTCGAGGTCGCAGAAGTGTTATGCGATGAAGTATTACCTGGGTTGCGCGTGGCCAATATACGGTCTCATCTGCGGTATGTGGTCCGCAAAATTTACCTCCCACAACATATTTGAGTGAGTCATTTTCAAGAACGTCTTACTATGTTTGCGACCAATATGCGGTCCGTGAACCCATTTTGCGGTTGCATTTTTGGTCGCAGAAAGTCAGTTGAAGCTCAAAAATATTTTCTTGCATTTCTTCATCCCACTTAGATGCATTGTGAATACCCTGCGCTCCAAAACACACGTCAAAAAGTTCAACTAAAACAAATAACCTAAAAAGGATAAAATCTAATAGAAACATATGACACATGGGTTGCTTTCCAAGAAGCGCTTGATTTAACGTCACGACACGACAATGTTACCCCATTTAGGCTAGTCAATTGTGGAGGTTGGTACAGGACAATCCTTGAGTTTGAATTGTTCCACCAGTTGCCTTTCTCCCATGGTTCCGAGGTAGTGGTTCACCCTTTGGCCATTTACTTTGAAGGTTCAAGTCCCATCCTTGGACTCTAATTTAATAGCGCCATAAGAAGACACTCTAACAACTTTGAATGGATCAGACCATTTGGATTTGAGTTTGCCCGGAAAGAACCTCAATCTTGAGTTGAAGAGTAAGACCAAGTCACCGAATTTGAATTGCCGCTTCAAGATCTTCTTATCATGAATAGACTTCATCATTTCTTTATACATGGTTGCATTCTCATAGGCTTGGAAAAAACTCCTCTATCTTATTGAATTGTGTCATCCTTGATTAGCAGCTTTGGACCAATCAAGGTTTAACTTTTTAAATGCCTACATGGCTTTGTGATCTAGATTCAACCTAAGTGGCTTTGTGTTCTAGCTCCACCGGCAAGTGACAATCCTTACCAAAAACCAACTGATAAGGCGATGATCCAATGGGTGTTTTGAATGCAGTCCGATAGGCCCATAAAAGCGTCATCTAGCTTTCTTGACCAATCTGTCTTGTCTGCACTAACAATATCTGCTAGAATGTTCATCATTTCTCGGTTGGATACTTCAACTTGACCACTTGATTGAGGATGATAAGGGGTTTCCACCTTGTTCTTACTCCATATTTTTCGAGCAGCCCCGCAAAGGCTTTGTTGTAAAAGTGAGAACCACCATCACTAAGGATGACCCTTGGGGTTCCAAACCAAGTGAATATGTTCTTCTTCAAGAAGGAGGTTACACTCCTTGGCTCATTATTTGGCAAGGCAACTGCTTTGACCCATTTTGAGACATAGTCCACCGTTACCAAGATATACATCATGATGTATGAGATCATAAAGGGACCCATGAAATCGATCCCCGACACATCAAAGATCTCTACCTCAAATACAAAATTCAAAGGCATCTCATGCCTTCTAGAAATTGACTCTTGTTTTTGACACTTATCACAAGCCATGATCATTAGATTTGCATCTTGATAGATCGATGGCCAATAGTAGCCACAATCAAGCACTTTTACCGCCTATAAGGTTTCCATCGTGGTGGCCCCCAAATGGAGATTCATGACATGCTTTGAGAATTGACGTCACCTTATCTTCCGGAACACAATGCCGAATGATGTTGTCGGCACATATCCAGAATAAAAAAGGTTCCTCCCAATAGTAATGCCTACAATCCCTCAAGAATTCTTTTCTTTGATAAGCTTCCAATAAAGCCACGAACCAAGAAGTTAGCTATATCGGCATACTAATGAGTTGAAGTGCTAGATATTGCTAAAAGTTGTTCATCTGGGAAGGCGTCATTGATTTCAAGATCTTCCTTTGGTCTCCTACTTCTTCAAGCCTAGATAAGCGATCCAAAACTTGATTTTCTATTCCTTTTTGATTTTTGAGTTCAAAGTCAAATTCTTGCAACAAAAGGACCCACCTAATCAATCTCGATTTAGCATCCTTCTTCGCCATAAGGTATCAGAGAGCAACATGATCGGTGAAGACTATCACCTTGGATCCCAACAAATAGGCCCGAAATCTTTCAAAAGCATAGACAATGGAAAGCAATTCTTTCTTGGTCACAGTGTAATTCATTTGTGTGCCAATGAGTGTCTTGATTGCATAGTAGACAGGGTGAAGAATCTTATTGTGCCTTTGACCAAGCACTGCCACAATAGCCACAGCACTAGCATCACACATAAGTTCAAAGGGAAGAGACCAATTGGGTGTGACAATAATAGGTGTTGTGGTTACCCTTGCTTTCAATTCCTCAAAAGCTTTGAGGTACTTCTCACCAAACACAAATTTAGCATCCTTTTCAAGGAGCTTACACATGGGGCTTGCAATATTTGGAAAGTCTTTGATAAATAGCTGATAGAAGCCGACATTCCCCAAAAAACTCCAAACACCTTTGATCGAAGTGGGAGGATGAAGCTTGGAAATTACTTCAATTTTTGCCCGATCAACCTCAATACCTTGCTTGGAGATTTTTGTCCGAGAACAATACCTTCGTCCACCATGTAGTAACATTGTTGGTCTCCTTGCATCTTTTAACTACTTGCCTAAGATTATCAAGGAAATGTTCGAATGAATGACCAACTACAGAGAATTCATCTATGAATACCTCCAAGAAATCATCCACCATGTCCGAGAAAATCGACATCATGCACCGTTGAAAGGTAGTCGAGGAATTGCATAGCCCAAATGGCATCCATCTAAAAGCAAAGGTACCATACGAACATGTGAATATCATCTTATCTTGGTCCTCCAAGGCTATGTTAATTTGGTTGTAGTCGGAGTAACCATCCATGAAGCAATAAAATGACCTTCCCGCTAGTAAATCAAGCATTTGATCAATAAAAGGCATAGGGAAATGGTCTTTGCAAGTAGCATTATTGAGCTTCTGGTAGTCTATGAAAACTCTCCACCCGGTCACCGTCCTCGTTGGAATGAGTTCATTTTTTCATTTTGAATTACGGTCGTGGCTCCCTTCTTTGGCACATATTGTGTCGAACTCACCCAAGGACTATCGGTAGTGGGGTAGATAACCCCGGCGTCAAACGATTTTATAATTTCTTTCTTTGGCACTTCTTGCATTGAGGGATTTAACCTCCTTTGATGCTCCACACTAGGTTTGCTATCTTCTTCGAGTTGGATTTTGTGCTCACAAATACTGGCGGGAATCCCTCGGATATCCACTATTGTTCAACCAATGGCCCGTCTATTCTCCCTCAAGGTCTCCACTAATTTTTCAACCTGCACATCATTTAACAAAGAGGAAACAACTACGGGTAGAGTTTCATTAGATCTAAGAAATTTATACATTAAGTGCGGTTGAAGTGGCTTGAGCTCAAGTTGTGGCGGCTCGACGATTGAAATCTTAGCGGGGGGGAGTAGATCTATTCTCCAATTCAAAAGAAAGCTTCTTTGGTGCATAAGTGAAGGAACCAAACCCTTCCAATGCGTTCATCATCTCCATATATACTTCCATGTCCTCACCATTATAATTTATCAAGATCACCGCCAATGCCTCACCGAGGCATTCCTCTTCCATCTTTACCTCAATGGCATCTTCTACCACATCAACAATATCAAGTACTAGGATACTCTCGTATGAATTTGGAAATTTTATGCCCTTACTTGCTTGAAAGGTAACTTCTTCGTCATTAACCCATAATTTAATCTCACTTCTTTCCGAGTCCATGAGTGCTCTCCTGATTGCAAGGAAAGGTCTCCCTAAGATAATAGGGATCTCTTTATCAACAACATAATCAAGAATAACTAAGTCGGCAGCGAGGAGAAACTTCCCCACTTTCACAAGCACATCATCCACTATCCCTATCGGTCGCGTTATCGCATGTTCAACCATTTGAAACCTCAAACTCATAGGCCTAGCCATTCCTAATCCCGCTTTCTTGTAAATAACAAGAGGCATTAAGTTGATGCTAGACCCATTATCACAAAGAGCTCATGCAATAGTGCGTGGAATGGTAAAGCCCTAGGATCCTCTTTCTTTTAGATGGAGGTTGTTGAAATGATAGAGCTAATCAGGTGGGTGACACACACCATTTTATTCTTGATGGTCTTCTCTTTAGTGATAAAATCCTTCATGTTTTTAGCAAAACTGGGCATCTCTTGAAATGCTTCCACAACCAGAATGTTCACTGATAATTGCTTTAAGATGTCAAATAACTTCTCAAATTTGCTATTATCAACTCTTTTGGCTAGCCTTTGAGTAAATCGAGGGGGAGGTCTAGGAATATGTGCTAGAGGTTTTGGTTCCCCGATTACCTTTTCCTCAACATTTTCATGATTCACATCTTGAGCTTTCACCTTCTTCGGATTTCTCTCAACTTCAACAATATTAGGCACCTCAACTTGTGCCTCATCTTCTTGTTCAACATCTTCCACTCCAATCACCCGTTCACTCTCACTTGGAAGTAGTTTTGCACTTCGAGTTGTAATGGCCATACAATGAGAGGTTGGGCCACCCCCACTATCATTTGGGTTCGCAATTGTATTACTTGGGAGTGTGACTTTTTGTTTTGGGTTTTGTTCTCTTGAGAAATCACTCATTTGCATTTCCATCTTTTGAATAGATGCGGTGTGCGAACCCACAAGCTCGGTCATATTTTTCATTGAAGTGTCGGACCTCTCTTGATTTTATAATACTCTTTCAATCATGTTCTCCAATTTGGAATCGCTTGAAGAACTCTCCTTTGAATGTTGAGAGTTAAAATATTGCCCCTTTGGTGGAACATAGGGGTTTGAACTCCGATTTGAAAAATTATTATTGTTGTTGGTCATTTCACCATTGTTGGTAACCTTTCCCTTGCGAGATAGGTCTCCATTGGTGCTATTGTCCCTATCCTTGGTAGTTTTGTTTTTGATATCCTGCTTGTGAATTGTTAACATAGTTTGCTTCTTCGTATTGCATGGGAGGATAGTCTTGTTGTTGGCTTTCTTGATGTTGATAGTTAGCATTGGATATTGCTTGTACTTCTTCCACAACATTCACTTTCTTTGTTTGGCTTTCTGTGAACTTTTTTGTCTACACATTTGCATTGGTAGCAAGCCTGACAATCAATTGATCTCTTTCTTGATTTTCGTTAACCATGTTGGTCAAATAAGGGATACCATGTGATATTCCACCCGTGATGTCTTCCGAATGCAAAGCTTGGTTGTGTTCGGCCATCTTGTCGAGGATTTTAGTGATTCTTGCAAATAATTTGTCCATGAACAATCCATCAGCCGCATTTTTGGCTATAGATTTTCATAAGATCCAAACCTATGTATAACTTCTCCAACAAAATATTTTCCGGAAACCCATGATTTGGTGATCTTACCAAATAAAAATTGAATCTAGCCCATGCTTCATGTAGTTGTTCCCCCGATAATTACTTGAAGAAGAAAATATGTCCCAAAGCTCGAATTTCTTGCTTTGTGTGAACCATTTTGCATTGAAAATATGCACAAGTTTGTCCCAAGTGTGGATTAAGTTAGGAGGTAGATTTTGAATCCATTGTCTTGCCTCTTCGGCTAAAGAGTATTTGAACACCCTCAACCTTAGGGAATCATCCGAAACATGACTCTACTTATTCATTGCACACACACCCAAAAGGTTTATGAGGTGTTGTGTCGGATCATCATCGGTGGAATTTCGAAAGACCCCTCCTCCTTTAGCTTTAGGATTATACTATGTTTCACTTTGAAGGAAGCCGCATCAACTATAGGAGGGACAATGGCATTTGTATCCTCAATATACTCATCCATATCCGCAAACACATTCTCCGGCTTACCCATGCTTGCCTAGTGACACCAAACAAAACAAGCAAAGTGTGATGGAATAGAAAAAGACGTAAAGTAAATCACACTCTATTTAGTAATTTCAAAACCGTATTTCCCGGAAACGACACCACAACTTGATACTCTTAAATTACACCTATATAAATAGTGTAAGGCAGTCGATGTCAAATATAATAACCCAACTAGGATGTGGTCGAATCCCACATGGATTAGGTGTGAAAAGTTTACTTGAATAGTGTGTCACTTGACTAAATCCGTAATTCTACTCCATTAGTTTGGAAAGATTTTGATAACTGTGATTTGTTAAGAAAAGCTATTTTGTTAAGATAATTGATTAAATGGATATAGAAACCAAGATTGTGTCCCCTTCTATTGAATGCAATGCTACCGGTGTAAATATGATATATTTCTAATGGGAGGTTCTTTGATAAGCAAATGGTTCCTAAATTATTACCCAATATTTTCCAATAGTTAGGTAGTATTTCCTCTTTATGATTTTCCCAAATATAAAAGAGTTACAAGTAAGACCAACCAATTCATGCCAAGTAGAACTCATTTATTCCTAAATGCTTCTATTAAATAAGGTTTAAAGCCTTGAGTTCTTGCTATTCAATTCTACCAAATTCTAACCCACTTTTCCAAGTGAAAGATAAAGTAAATTGGCACTAGTTAATGTTTGCAACCATCAANCGAATGAAGATAATACATATTTTCATTAATTAGGCAAAAATATGATCATGTCTACAATACCAATTCATTACCAATAGTTTCTTCATTCAAAGTCTCAATTTCACACACTTTGTTTTCATAATCTGAAGTGGAAATAGTAATTCAAACACAACATAACAAGTTTGACTTCCCCAGCACTAATATATAACCCACACTAAGTCTATGAAGCCTCTAACAGATACAAAAGAGTACTATGATAATGCCGGCAATAAGGCCCCGGCTATACCTCAAACAGAATACATAAAGTACAAAAGATTCATGACCCCGAGATGAAGTTGGGCTCACCAAGTCAGCTTGGAAGAAGGTATACTGCTATCACTGATCAATATCTCCAGCTGTGGAACCACCTACATCTATTTAAAGATGTAGCGCCCCCGGCAAAAGGGACGTTAGTGTTGTCGAATAGCACTAGTATGTATAACTAAACACCCTCTCAATAGAATGACAAATAATACAAACAAGGTTATCATAATATCAATGGAAGCCTTAATCAACATCAAACCTCAATTTAGGATCAAGACAATATTTAAATTAATTTCCATACCTCACATTGGGAGATTTTTAGTATCGATATACCATTGTTCACAATACCATTATTCACAATACCAATACCACCGTACCCTCAGCACGGAGTCCGATCACGACCCGATCGGCTAGGCTATCTCATTAGAAACATCAACCATAATTACTCTCAATATCAATACCATCGTCTTTAACACAGAGTCCGATCATGACCCGATCGGCTAGGCTATCCATTAGGGACATCGACCACAATCACCATTTCAATTATAATTTCTAGCACAATCACCACCATGTGTGCAGCATGGTGTCCGGTCACGACCCAATCGGCTAGGCTGTCTTATTCGAGACATCAACCTTTTTATATCAATCATCGCATTTCATACTTCTTTCACATATTTACATTTCATTTGCATTAATGGCCATAATTATATAATCATTCTTGGCACGTTAGCCGTATTTAGTATTTCATGCTCACCTTTTCACTTTTAAACATCAACATCATCATTACCAACAAAAACAATTCAATTCAAGGTGTGCAGTACACACGTGAGTAATTAAGAGTCTAAGGCGCATAGAGATATTTCATAAAATTAGGCATAATAGCCTTCGTTTGAACTTGACTTGAAGTCAAAACATTATTAATGCACAGCCCATACTTGAACACATCCTCAATTGATAACATAACATGAATAAGACATTTAGGATATTTATTAAACATATAACTCTCAACCCAATCTTATTTGGAATAGCCAATTTTATGATGAACCACTCGGGACTTACATAATTTACTTGAATATCGTGGAATTCAATTCTAAGAGAAGAGTTTAGCCAACATACCTCAATCGAGCTTTCTTAAACTCTAAAATGTTCCGGAATTCATAGCAACTTCAATCTATTGAAGAAATATAACAAATTGAACCAAAATTAGGAAGATGCTCATGGTTCTAGCTCATTTGAGCATTTTATAAAACATTAGGTGTACATTAAGGTTTCAAGGTCCTTTTATGGAGGATTCCATCATCCCACAATCCAATCTTTACCATTTTTAGCTCAACAATCTTGCTACATCCTTTGATAACACATGCATGTAGAATAAACAATTCTCATGCCCAAAAATTATCTTGCTAATTACCCATTTCTAGACAAAATTCGAAATTGAGGGTTAGGGTGTAGAATCTTAACTCTAGGATGAAGACCTAGTGAGTTTCCTTCTTAATCTCCCAAAATTTGAGCAAGAATTGAAGAACAATTATTGAGGAACACCTTCTCACTCTAGGGAACTCTCTCTCACTCTAAAATGTCATATTTTAGATCAAAAATAGCCCAACCGTGTATTTAACGAAGTAGGGTTGGGTTTTAAAAACCAAAAAATGGAGCTCCGGAACAAGGTCTGCGATCGCATAATCGATATGCGGACCGCATATCGATCGCATAATTGGTGTCCAAAATCGGCAAAAATCTATCTGTGTTTGCGGTCACTATGCGGCCCGCAGACCTGTTCTGCGGTCGCATAATGAACCGTAGAACAGTTCTGGGGTCGCATAGTCGACCGCAAAATGGCATCCAAAAATTGCCCCTCTCCTGCCTCATTCTGCGGCCATTATGCGGTCCGTAGAGTGATTCTGCGATCGCATAATAGACTGCAGAAATGCATTTTGCTGCCAAAATATTTCCTTTACTTTCCAGTACAGTGTTCAACCCAAAAAGTCCAAGCATTTCTACAATCCTCAAACACATAAGACTAGTCCGGCACCATGAAACATTATTTTTCCTTTACAAAATTTTTACAGGGCCTTACAGTAAACACCCATTAACATTACACCCACATAGGGTCCACAACCTTAAATTAAAGTTAGCTACTGATACTAAAATAAAATAACAAAGCAATAAAGAAAGTCATAAAAGCATACAATTAATACAAAGTCCTGGAATCTCTCCGAAAAGCTCCAAAAAAGTAGTGTATTCAATGCTCTAAGTGTAGGACTTTTTTCAGACAAGATGACCCACAAAACCCCTAGTTATTCTATTTATAATGGCCCAAAATTTGCGGACAAAATGTGACAAAGTTAACCCTTCAGATTAGTTTGCGATCACATAATGCACCACAGAACTGGTTCGTGATCCGCACATCAGTAGCAACGCCGTAGATTTGTTCTCCTGTCTTTCTTGATTTCCATCAGATATCGTTTATGCGGCCGCATAATGATTTTGCGGCCGCATAATGGATCAAGATTCATCTTCACTAGAATTCCTTTTGCTATTGTGCGACAGTTCTGCGGACTGCACATAAGTTATGCGACCGCATATTGAACCATTATTTGACTCTTGAAATTGAGATGGGCTGGTCACATATGCGATCGGTCTGCAATTCGCACATCACTTTTGAGGTCGCATATCTGTCACAAATCTGCCTTCTTCATGGTTTTTGTCATTTTATTCATATTCTTGTCTCTTCAAGTCCGAGATCCTGTAAAAAAACAAAACTACATAAGAAATGACTTATAATGGTTTAAAAGATGAGCTAAAGTCTATGAAATTAATATCGAAAGTGCCGCATATCTACGACACATCAG